ACGATCCAGTTTTTAGCAACCGGTGCATATCAGAGGGGAATAGGTAATGATTCTTTGTACCCGAGTCAGCCGAGTGTAAGTAGGTGCATTACCAAAGTAACTGCTGAAATAGTCAGAATATTTTGCCGCAAACCAAATACGCTTCCCCCGAATCGATTTGAGAGGGAAAAAATATCGAATGAGTAATTATTATTATTGATTATATTTTTTATTATATAATAAAATATACCTAGTATATACTTACTGATTATTACCTATGTAATATCGCCTTTACCAATTTTTTTTCTGAAAACATATTCTTACCTACTATCCGTAATATACATCGTAACACGATTAAAGTTTAAACTCACCCATATTTATTAATGTAATATGTTCGTAGTTAATTTTCTATGCACACACTTCAAGTCATTTTAATGTCATCATCATGTTATATTACCATGCCTATATGGCTATATTAATATCCCTAAAACACGACCGATTGGAGCCCCCCCCCCCTTAACATAATTTTCCTTTATCTGATTTTCCGTTAAATGAGTTTTAAATTTTAAATAATATGATAAAATATTTATTAAAGATTTGAACAGTTAAGCCGCTACCCTGGTTAGGTTACACAAACATAAATAATTCACTTATTTAAAAAAATACTTGTCTGTAAAATCGTCGTAGGTACCTACGTTCTCGCCGAATCACTCAGCGACAACGGGACTGCTCGTGCCTGCGAGTACGGTGGTAGTATAAGGAAAATATTATCCCTGCCTCAGCACATCTTGCTTCGCTGCCTTGACCCGTGTCAATGATTTACGATTTATAATTTCCCCCCCCCCCCCTATATATTATGACGTGTACATTACAGTGACGACTGACTACAACACACGACAGTACTTGGCAATAATTATTAAGATAGCTCAAAACCTATTTGGGTATGAGTTGCTAAGTTTTGAATATCATACCGTAATAGCAGATTTGTTCAAGTAGTTTGCCCCTTAAATTACTGATAACTGATAATCAACGTGTTATCTAATATCCACGTTATCAACTGCCCAAGCCCACCACGAGCGGTGCATTACTGTATTTATCCTGTATAGTGTCGTACTGTCGTCTAATCTTTTTGCTCGTATTTACATTCCTAATTAATAATTAATAATAAACAATAATTATTAATTAATATAATATAGGTACTATTCATTGATACGTTCTTAGTAGAGTGCCTTGATGGAGATTGATGTATCTCTGTTAAGGCCCTCTAGTTCTTAGTAGTTATATTATCTTTTCAAGTGCCCTACGAAATAATATGTATTGATTTTTTGGTTTTCAATGTTTGTTTTCAATCGCACTAGGCTGACGAATCGCACGCCATCGACGTAATATTTATGACTTTAATAAGATGTATAGCCGTGCTTTACTGCCATTATCTGTTCAATAATCTCAGGCAGTTGGATTCAAAATATGTTTTGGGTAAGATGATTATTATGTATACTAATATGGGATATATTATATTGTATGGAGTGAATCATTTAACCATTTGACAGTAGGGGACACTCATTATTCAAAAAAGTAAAAATATTTTTTTTTACATGGTTTCAAGTCGTTACATTGCAATGTATTTATTCAAAAATTCAGTTTTTTACTTTTTTGATCACAACAAAGTTTTAATTTCATTTCGAAAGCAGAATATTTTTCTGAGTATTTCAATACATAAAAATCGAATTTAGAGTTTATGAGTTTATAATATTTAAAGTTTAGATGGAATAGTGGAACGTTTTGCGAGGTAACCCCGTACCACTTCGTTCCGCTCATCTAAACTTTAAATACCTATAACTCGTAAAATTGCTTGTCTTAAATTCGATTCTTATGTATCGAAATTCTTAGAAAAATTATTATAATTTCAAGACCAATAAAAACAAAATAATATCAATATTAAAACATATTAGGTGTGCATATGTATATTTTTAAAAATAATGTTGTTTTTTTATGACTTGAAGCCATGTAAAATCTTTTTTTTCAAAAATATTTATACCTTTTGAAATCATGAGTTTTCAATTATAAAAGAAACTCCCGGTTTATTATATATTTATATATTTAAGTAAAGTTAAACAACCATGACTTCATGTTTACCTCAGTAAAAGACAGGAAAAAAATGGTAACTTCGGTTTAAAATGTCTGTACATCCAGTTGTATACACTTTACTGACCATTTGTGGTGTTAGGTTGTTGCAGTCTAGACCATACACTTTTAACAGGATGAAACGTGGCCTTCGACATATTATAATATAGTAAAAAGATTTTATTAATTCTGTGTACTAATTTATGTAAGCAAGGTCAACAAAAATAATTGATCATATAACTCAGCTTTTTGTTTCATTGTTTTGTTCACTGGAGTAAGTTTATGACTCCCTGATTGATAGAGCCTTCTTTTTTTTTTAAATTTACTTAAAAGGGTCAGAAAATAAGTTTTTATCTTAAACATGTTATAAGACTGTCATAGTGTCATATCCTCTTTGATAAAAACAAATGAATCATAGTTAGGTTTTATTAATTCCGAAGGAACTTTTGATGAGTAATAGACAAAACAAATATCAAGTATTACAAAGTTGCGCATTCATTATTGTTTATGACAATTTTACACTTAAATATGTCAAATTTGCATTATGCACTCTGTAAGCATACCTACTTTAGTAACACCGGGCTCGGCGACTGAGGCCTCCGCGTCTCTTGACTAGCGCTCAGCGCTAATATAAGGTACGCGGTTGTAGCCGCAAGGCAATAAAACCCGGGAGTCTTCTTTAGTATATAGAGTGAGTCACTAAACATACCAGAATTTATTTCATAGTTGTTAATTAAAACTTGTAGGTGAATTATTATTTTTATTTATTGTACATAGGTATTATATCTCCATTTATATTATTTATATCTAAATTCTACAAAACCTTTTACTTACTAGACAGATAATATTAAACTCTTGGTCTTAAATTGTTGAGAAATGTTTGGATATTTTATTTGTTTATCAATTTTTAAAACTGGTTAAATAATTTGATTAATTGGTTTGTTATTGAAATATTATCTTTTGAACATTAAATAATTGCTGCAATTTTTACTTCCATCTTGAATCACTAACTGGTTTCTTGATCCATTTGTTTTTGCTCTCATCAATTAAATTGTGCAATTACCTAGTTACTTACCACTTTCTATTTTTATTATGTATCATTTGATATAATTTCTCAAATTTGTATCAAATTGATTTATCTTACTAGGAAATTGTATTATTTAAATTTCATAGAAATTTAGAAAATTGTTTAATAATTTCACATATGAAAATTATTTTCAGGTATTGCTGCCATGTTTACAGTATTTTCAAGCTTCGTTTTTAGTACCATAGTAATACATTACTTAAATGGACACTTAAAGTAAGTTTAAGTAATTTGTTACTGCTAAATATGATAAAAATTATTGACTTGTGGTACCTATAAACACTATTTATTTTTTTGTTACAGAGATGTTCCTATTCCTATTAGTTTTAATTGTTAACTCAAAAAAAGCCAGTTTGTTGGCACAATTTGCACTAAGTGGCTGCTCACAGACCGAAGTAATCAATAATACATCTAAAAGCATGTCATTGCTAGGTCCATTATTTTCTTTGGACTCAATTGTATGTAGTCTTGTTATCAGTGTCGGGATGCTGTCAGGTGTCCAACATTTAGAAGTGTATGTTTACATGCATGTCATTCATTGTGAACTATGTGGAAATCATGATTTTTATCCAGCTTCTTTATCCTTGGTATTGGATGTAAGTTATTTTTTTAAATTTAAATATTAATATTATTGAACATTTGGTAGCTCGGGTATGCAGCAATAGTTCTTCTGACAATGTATTGTTTAATTAACAGTTACTTAGAAGAGGAGATGAAACCTCTTCATGGTATGCCGTTTTGGGGTGAACGTTTTCAGATAACTGCGTCATGACCCAATCACACAAAGCATTAAGGTGATAATGTCAGTGGGTGTAATGATTGTTCACGTACAGAGGTACAATTTCATTCATAGCTTTAACAATAAGGTCTAGGATTTGCATAAGAAACACTACCTACCTTTACTTATTCTTTAGTGATCCATATTTTACTGTTAGTGTATTCATATATATGTTAGCGGCAATGTGTATAATATATTTAATATATAAAATGCCTAGGAATTCTATATAATACCTGGTGGTTTTTAAAAAAGTGTATAGTAAATTTTTTTTTTACACACATTTCCTAAATATTTTGTATAATAACTAGACATTTCATAAAACGACAAACAACAAATTGGCAATCTGTAGAATAATGATATAACCCAAATAAATAGATTTCCTTTTATCATAATTAAGACAATTATTAATTTTATTAGTGCACAAAAAAATATTTATTACAAAGTAGGTATCATTAATATTACAGAATATAATGCATAAAAATTAAAATAAAAATAATTTGTAAATTATTATTAGAGTATATGACTACGGTGACAAAATTATCGCGTTATCTGTCGGCAGTCGGAATTCTACTTTATAGATTACAGATTACAGATTACTAATGGATTTATATATTGTCAAATATCAATAGGTACTGAATATATGCCATATGGATTTAATATATTACCTATACATTGTTTGGCATTTCATATAATGCTTAGGTAATTTAAACAATTTTATAGATTGCCGGCTGTATTTGGTGTTATATAGAATTCCTAGACATTATATAAAATACCAATATTATACACATTGCCACTAACATATATATATTTATTTATTTATACAGAAAAATAGTTTTTATTTTCTTAGAATAGAAAAATTTAAATAAAAATTAGTACAATAGAATGTATTCTTATAACATTTGTATGTTTATATGTTTTCTTAAAAAGGAGAACATTCAGTTTGCCTTCATTTGTCTGTAATATTTTAAACTTGAAACTTGTTCACTACATTTTAGTCGATGAGCATTGAGTGGTGTGGAAACTGAAGCAGATAGTATGTTAGGAGTACAAGTTACCAAGGTTGCTGTATTTGATGAAACCGAAGAGAATTACCATCGTTCTGTTCATATCTCTATTGTGCAGTAAGTGTGAATGTCTGTAAATAATTTATTTATTCACATCAATTACGTTAAAAGAATGTCATTGTATGAATCTAATATTAACCTTTTTTTTCTCCATAGTTGGATGTCTAGTCATATAGTTATATTGATACTTTTACTATTAATGATAGTTTGGTTTTGGTTCTTTGGAGACCGTGATGATCTAGCTCATACCTTAGCCCAGGTGAATAAAAAACAGTCAACAAACAAATCCGGTGAGTACAATTTTAAAATACGCATACTGTATAGTAAATATGAATAGACATTGTATTTAGCAGTGTTATAATTTTTTTCTACTAGTCTTGACCTTTCAAAATTGGAAATATTTTTATTGTTAATAATCATTCATTTTAAAGCATTATACTATAACAATTTATAAATTTTATCAATAAATACAATTTCAATATTATATTAATTCAAACTATTCAACAAAAATAAAAGACGCCCAAAATATTTTAATTTTTTTACATACAGGTCATTCAGTACATGTCCATGAAACCCAAAAATATTTTAAACATACACATAGCCAAACTACGTATCAAAAAGCATCAGTTTATACTTCCAACAAAATGGTTCAAACAGAAAATGTTGATGGTGACAACAATGTGGAAACAGGCCTTTTGATGAATGTTTAGATATTTTTAAAACTCAGGTAAATATTTAATACTCTTACAATAATCTTGGTATAACGTAATTTTTTTCTGGCAGTATTTATAATTATTCTCAACTTATAAATATATGCATATATTGCATATGCAAAGTGAAGATAATTTTTTTACATGAAAAAAGTTATTAAACACAAACATTTCCCCTGTATATCTTTTTATGCAGTACAATATAATATAATTATTTAATATTTTAAATGTATTTAAAATGAAGTCATATCCACATATGTTGTGTGTGTTTTACGTATGGACATAACCAAATTTGCAATTCAGCAGTTCCAATTTTTTGCTGTTAAATTTAATATCATAATGAATTCTGTATTGTCTTTTTGGTTTTTTGTAATGTTTTAATTTTGAAGTAAGTTATGAGTATTTTTAAATTTTAATATTTTATACACTCATTATATAATTAAACATTAAAATATCGTAAAAACCAACAAGAGGATACAAATAATGTTCTTATCTGAACGTTTTATAATAAGTCAACTTATCTAATATTTAATTCAACCCAAAATTGAAACTACTCAACATAAGTTTTGATATGTTATGAGTTAGTAAGATGGATACAAGTATACAACACATGCGTGTATTATGTATACAATTTTTAAGAAAAAAAATTGTTTTAAGGAAGGCATTTCGTGAATCCTCTTAAATTAAATACCATTTATATGCATCAAAAGCCCTCGTTTTAACATTACAAATAATGTCTCTTTAATCAAATCATTAATTTTATAATTACAATTAATATTTAAATTACTAAAAAATATTTAGATTTATTTTTATTTTTATTTATATAAGATTTTGTTAAATCTATAATTATTATATATATTTATTGGGCTTATTTATGTAATTATGTTAACATTTTAAAAATGAAGGTATTAATTTCCAAGGCTGGCATTAACAAGTTAAAAAGTTAATTTTATTTTAACTCTTTAACTTAACTAGTTACTTTTGGATTTTCATTAACTTAACTGTTAACTTAGTATTTTTCTTTTTTAATTAACGTCAAATTAACGAGTTAATTTTTCATTTTAAAAAGTAAGTTAAGTTTATTTATTTTGTTTTTAATTTAATTATATTTCACTATTTCAGTCTATTTTGTTTTCATTTCAAAAAAATATGTATCATAAATTGTTTAAAGTTAAAAATTTATATCATTTGAATTTAACTTATATGGAAATACTGTATAAAGTCTATAATTTAGATTTGGGTTGAAAAAAAATGAAGTACTCCAGCTTTGTTAAAACAAATTAACTTTTTTTTAACTTAAAAAGTTAACAAAAAGTGTGTATTAACTTTTAACTCAACTGAGTTAAAAAAAATCATTAACTTGCCCAGCCTTGTTAATTTCTATTAACTACAATCATTTAGTTATGAGGATTTTTATATTTAGTTAGTGTGCGTATGTGAATGTGAATGATGTTAAGTTGTATTATTTAGTCATATAATAGCAATATTATTATATATTATAGTTCATCGAATTTAAAGTAAAAAAGCTCAATATATTTAATTAGTTCAAGCATATATTGTATAATAAGTAATTGCTAATTACACTAATTATTTTTATGGTATAAACTATTAAAAATAATTATTAATATTGATTGTGTTATCTTTAGTGTGTTGTTTTTACTATATTAGCCAACTCATATTATTTTATTAATTCTATTAAAAATATTTATGTTACAAGTACATAACTTTCTTATGTACTTCCAAACTTTTATTACATACAAAATACATAGTGGAACATAATAAGGAATTAAACATGTACCATCCATAAATTGCTATCTTTGCCGTGCATTCTTTATAATGGGTTATGATAAATATACATATTTATTATTTAGAAATCGGCTGAACAATTAAATGATAATGAAGTATTAATGTTAGTGAAATCAAACCATATAAAACCGTACATGTTGGAAAAATGTGTCAATAACCCAGAAAGGTGTGTTGGTCTTAGAAGAAATATAATTGCAGCAGAAAGCAATCTGACAGACCTCTTAATAGAATTACCTTACATTGATTATGATTATTCTAAAGTAAGGAACAACTGATCAATTATAAAGTAGAGACTAGGGAATTATATTCTGTATGACTGTATTATTGAAATTTCTTCTAGGTACTAGGAACCAATTGAGAGAACGTTATAGTATATGTAGCTGTGCCTGTTGGAGTAGCTGGACCATTTGTGGATGCGCATTTTATCAAGTACCCATGGCGACCACTGAAGGTTGCTTAGTGGCCAGTACAAACAGAGGATGTTGAGCACTGACAATATGCGGTGGCGTAATAACTAGAGTTGTGGATGATAGTATGACTAGAGGACCCGTTGTTCGATTTTCTTCAGTTACTACAGGTATGTATGTAATTTTCCATTCAACTATTGAGAATTTTGATAAGTAAACATTTTTTTTTACAACATATTAGCAAAGCGAAAGTGTGGATGGACAATCCAGAAAAGTTCAAAATAATTAAGTCGGCATTTGATTCAACTAGCAGATTTGCAAGACTCACAAAATTACTTGTGCGTATTGCTGGTCGATATCTGTTTATTCGGTTTACAGCTTCTACGGGTGATGCAATGGGCATGAATATGTTATCCAAAGTAAAAAATAAAAACACTATTTAATATTTTGTTAAATAATGTCACATTGACCCTTAAATTAAATTTAAATAATGCTTATTTTAATGTTTTTAATAGGGAACAGAAAAATCACTCAAAGTCATCGGAGGATACTTCCCCGACATGGAAGTTTTAAGTTTGAGTGGTAATTTTTGTTCAGACAAAAAGCCAGCCGCAGTCAATCGGTATGAAATTTTTAAAAATTGTATGCATTTTTCCATTATATTATTTACGTTTTTTTCTTATATAGGGTTGAAGGCTGTGAAAAATATGTTGTTAGTAAAGCAATTGTACCTTCAAAAATTGTCACTGAGGTACTGAAAACTACTGTAGCAGCATTGATTGATGTTAACATAAGCAAAAACTTGATGGGATCACCTATTGCTGGTAGTATTGGAGGAAATAATGCAAATGCAGCCAATATTGTTACAGCTGTATACATTGCTACAGGACAAGTAAATAAACAACTATTTTTTTCAACATAATATTACTAGCTGATCCCGCTCACTTTGTTGCCCGTACAAAATTGTGATTGTTCAACTCCTTTTGGGTGTAACTCGTTGCAGTAAGTGCCACTCAGACATTATCATTTTAACAATGTGCAACAGCATATCAAGTAGGCAACGACACGCTGATGAGCGCCTTTAATTGCAACTTAGCCACCTTTGTAGGCAATGTGTGAAAATTTGATTTGATGCATGCTTGTACCTGATCTGCCTGATAACCAATAGCAACTGTTTATAAACGAATATGTCCCATCGTAAATCTCAAACTTTCTGTTTGAGCACCTCCGAGTGTTGGACCTACCTAACCTTTCTCTTGAATCATTCTATCAATTAAAAACAACCTCATAAAAATCCGTTGTGTAGTTTTACAGATCTAAGCATACAGACAGACAGCGGGACTTGGTTTTATACTATGTTAAGATAACATTATAATATTTTAGCCATATATTTAATTATTTCCCCTCAATATTTTAGGATCCAGCTCAAAATGTGGCGAGCAGCAATTGCATGACACTGATGGAAGCATTTGGTGAAGACCTGTATGTATCATGTACAATGCCTTCGGTTGAGATTGGTACAGTAGGCGGAGGAACTTCATTACCTGGTCAATCTGCGTGTTTGGAAATGCTTGGCGTACGAGGTGCAAACTCTCTAACCCCTGGGACCAACGCTAAACGATTAGCACGTATACTGTGTGCAACAGTTTTAGCCGGCGAACTATCGCTGATGTCGGCCCTGACTGCTGGTCATTTAGTAAAAAGACACATGATTCACAATCGGTAAGGGTTTTGTTTCTATTTGTATGTTTATCTATAATAGCTCTTTTAATTATTCACATTTTTAAAAAACAATATCATGGCATTTTTGGAAAAATAAGACAACATTGTTTGCCCAAATGAGTGTAGTGATATTTAGCACTATTTGGATACAATTTTATAAATTAACTTTTGTTACCTTGCTTATTGCACAAAATGGGAACCACAATTATTTAAGAACTAAAACCAACTATTTTTTTTCACAGGTCCGCTCCTTTCATTCAGAATTTAGAATCAGAACCATCCGAATCAAACAGACTATTTACACACTGTGTGTCTTGAGTGACGTGAAATTAATTAATTTTTCTTCATACTTCTTACTTAATTCTATTTTGTTAGAATCTATGTTGTATATAAACAAATGGCATTTTATTGAACAGTCAATATTTTCTGTGAGATGATGTTTTTTTTCTCAGTATTTTGTCAACAACACAAAGAAATCAAAATATTGTGAAATGGATAAATGAAATATAAAAAAAAAAAAAAACAGTTTATTTTTATTGTCATTTTAAGTTCAGATTTGGATGAAATTATATAATAAAAAACCTAGAATAACTATTTTAGTTATTTTGTTGTGATTGTATAATATCATTCGTAGGTACTTTAAAGTTCTAAAGTACACTATTATATTATATCTATGATAGTATCATGGTTTGTCGTTGATGTATAACGCGTTATAAGTACCTAATGGTTATTGTGATTTGATTAATTTGGAATTTCTTATACCTACCTATTATATATAATTTTTTTTGAATACCATAGATAAGTATATAATATGTCTTATACCCACGATTTAAGATAATATGGTTGCCCAACGAGGTAAGACGGCATTGGATTTAAATCGGACCGCCGGTGCTAGCTCTTCTAGTGGACTATTTTGTAATTGATAATATAATATGATCATTATATATATTTTTATTGCATATACGTATAACATAACAATTTTTATTCGTCTTAATTTGAACCGACATGAGCGCTGCATGCGGGGGACCCCATAGATCACGTGACTTTTCGATTCAAACCGTATGCCGTGTGATAACATTTTTCTAATGGGTCGATGGGCAACCATACTATCTTAAATCGTGCTTATACCTAGACTGACCGCTCAGAATCGTTTTTCTTATACAATGATGTTATATCATTGAATTCAAGTTTAACACAATCCATTACACAATGCCCCACGGCCACTTGCAACCTACTGTACAGCAGTGCGACATCCACTTACCCTCTTTTTTTTAATATTTATTTGAATATATACATTATAAAATCTGTAATAATATTTACAATGAGCATATGGGATGGAATACAATTGACTTTGGCACCATGAGAGGAGTAGCTACCCAGCAGTAACACTTGACAAAAAATATATAACATATTCCATAATATACATTTTATGTACAAATATGTACAAACATGTAGCAATTAAAATTCTTTGTTCAAACTTCCTATTCATAAAATTATAATCATTTTAATATTAACATACAATTGAAAATTAAAAATTATTTTGTTAAATGTTGTAAAAGTCAAATGATTTTGTTCGATCTAGATATTATGTGTTATTAAATAGTTTTATGGACATATTAAAGTATATGTTCCACTTAAAAATTATTATTACTTATATGTATTATTAAATTGTATATGGGTTTTTATCTTTTGTTCCACAATTTTTACAATTGTTGATTTATTTATTATATATCAGTCAATTAGTGTAACCATTAGAGTTTGGAACTATGCGTCTATGCAGTGTACAACAAATGTCACAATTGTTGAAGAAAAACTAAATAGAAAATGTGAACAAAACTCAGGAACTTGAACTTGAAAAAAAACTGATTTTAATCTTAAAACTAACTTTAAACATTAATAAATACAATAATATTCATCCTTTTTTTTAATCATCATCATTAATCTTGTGACAATGTGACATGGACACACATGGCAAGGTAATATAATAAAACATTTTAAGACCATAGGTAAATGACATGATAATTTTAAATTGAAAAAAAGTATGAAGTAACAGTTAGCAAGTTATTATGTTACTATCAAAATAAATGCATATTTTAAAATAAATCTTAAGTTTATGTTTTAATTATTTTTTGAACAAAAATTATTAATTTTATGGTGCCTGTTCTGTTGATTGTCACTTCCCAAATATTGAATAGGTATTTAAACAATCAATATTAGATAAGTATCATTTTAATTAATGTTTTAAGTCTAAAAATGTTACAATTATACTGAGTTTAACAATGCATTATTGTGCCATAATACTAGAATTGTAAATGTACATTCCATCCTCTGTCTTGGCGGTGTCGGCCTGGCCCAGTAATAATAATAATATATAAATATATAATAATATTTTTAATGAGTTCAGCGTTCTCTGCCGTACGCGAAATGACGAAATTGAAAATAGTTGGGTTTTTATTCAACGACTACGATGACGATAACGAACGACAAATTATAAAATTTAACATTCGACGAAGACGAAAATGCTACGGTACTGCAATAGACGTAGGAGTAGTGGGGGACGGGGGTTATACCGGTGGCAGCCGGCGTCGTCAACGAATGCCGCTATGTAACAATACGGCAAACTTAATACTTCTAATAACTATTTGAATAATTAATTTTTTGGACTTTTCTCTTTTGATGGCTCATCTGCACCACACCGAGTACTTGCGTTAGAAAAAGAAATCATGAAAATCGGTCCAGTAGAACTTAATCATGTCTTAATCTAATATATAAAAATCTCGTGTCACAATGTTTGTTACCAAACTCCTCCGAAACGGCTGGACCGATTTTCATGAAATTTGTTGTGTATATTAAGTAGGTCTCAGAGAGTGAATTAAACTATTTTTTATACCCCTGGGTGTAAAGGGTGGCATTCATTTATATATATTGACAAAAAATAATAATGCAAATCAACAAACATTCCCGATGAACCAATAGCAACCAATATATAATACACTATTTTTATTTTAGTAATAATATTATTTTTATTTTTATTTTTTTCTAGACAACTCTTATCTCTTAGGGGTATAGAAAATAGATAGTAGCCGATTCTCAGACCTACTGAATATGCATATAAGGTTTCATAAAAATCGGTCAAGCTTTTTCGGAGGAGTATGGTAACTAAAATTGTGACGCCAGAATTGTATATATTAGATATATATATATATATAAATGAATGTTTCCCAGACCTCTGGGAAGAAGATGGGCTAATTTAAAAAGGGTTAAATATGGTTTTTTTTATTCATCTGATATTAGTACGGTTAGGTCAGGTTAGGATTTTGTATTAATTGATTATATTAATCCAATTTAGGTGGAATTAAGTAAAAACGACAAACTTGGTCTAACTTTGATACTTTATAGGTAATATGATTATAATTTCTTTTTTAAATATAAATGTGGTGATAAATAATATAGGTCACATACTAAATCTATTGATTGATTTTATGCATTTGATAAACTGTAATTCATTGGATTGTGTAATACTTATAATATAGTAGTTTGTATAGTAGGTAATTTTAAACTAACTGTTACTTATAGAAATAATTTTTTAATAAATTTATGTTACAATTTGTTATCATTATATATTACAACTATACATTTTAAATTAGTTATTTTCTCAGTCAATGTACCCGATCTCTAAAAATTACAGAATGATAAATAAAGATTTTAGAGTATTATTATTATCATTACGAGTAGATTACCTATACTTATTATATTACTATATTAGGTATACTTTAGGTATACCTACTACAACATATTATTAATTTAAATAAATATTTGTAATTACTTATTTTCATATTTTAATATAACATTAACAGTTGAACTTAAAAAATAATACACGGTAAATTAATATTAATTTAATTGCGCTGTATTTATTTTATTTACCATTTATTAGATTTTACTTTAAGTATTATATTTAAATAAGTAATAATTCAATAACTTCAAATCAAGCAATGTTATAATACAGTTTCTACGATCTATATGTTGGGACATAAATTTAAGTAAACAGTATCTTAATTTATAATCTGTAGTTCGTAGGTACGCGAGGGTATTGAAAATATTACGGCGGCATTTGCGTATAATGAATTTTATAATGATGCGAATGGTACTGGACGAACGTTCATAGACAAATAAACGGCGCTCCCGAAGTCCCGAACGAGCACTCGTCGCCGCCGTCGGCCGGTTGCGAATAGTAGGCGTGACTTAAACGCCGCGCGCTTGCGGATCGTGAAAACACCTAACAGCGCATCCTCTCGGTCGTTGCATGCGTACAGCTTTGGGTGACACGTCCTCTTAAATCATACGCTTATTACAAACAGCACGAGCACGGGGTCCGCTAGTAATATATAAAGATTATGTCTCACCATACTACGTATGCATGCAGCTGGCCGTGGTTATGTCTTCATGAGACCCTGGTAGTAAATGGCGCTTAAACAGACTATCTTTATTGTTGTTGGCGCCTCGTCCCTTTGTTGTAAGTCTGAAGCCGTTTAGGATGAACTGTAGCTGAACGCGCTATTGTGTTATTGTTGTCTGGTTCCATACTTACTGCAGGCTACCGCGGGAGATGGTACAATGCGGCAAAATTAACCTTTTTATAAAAGTTGATATGTAAACTGCGGCAAAAAAAAATTTTACATTATACAAACCGCGGCAATTTGTTTTATATACCTTCTATATGTCCTACCTTTATACATATCGATACGATAACCTATATATTGTACGTTTATCGTTTAATTAGGTATAATACGTATTATGACAGCTATAATGCGTATTTTATCCGTGGCTTAACTCATAGAGTATTACACTCACAGAGTATTAGGCGAAAAATAAAGGAAAAACCAATTTTAAAATTGAAAATATTATTATTATTAAAAATTATTTTAAGAGATCGTAATGTACGTATAATCAAAAACCAATTATTATTACTAAAAATTTGTTAGATCGTATAGTGATCGTAAAATCAAAAAAACATTTTTTTTAAATAAAATAATAATACAATAGGTACCTAATTAACATTTTGTCGTTTATTTTTAAAACATACTTTTTTCAAAAATTCATATCTTGAAATTCGTCCATCTTCTTTCATTTGCCTCTGTTCGTTAATAAATTTGTACCTATTTTTGCGTTATCGCTTTATTATTCTTTTTTGTATTAACCCTTCTTCTGCACTTTTAATTTTTATATATGTGTCAACTTGAATATCTTGTAGAGCATCTATAAATTTATATAGTGATGGATGATGGTGATAAAAATATGCGTTAAATTTTGAATGGAAA